CTGCGCGAGCCGCATCTCCCAGCCCCGGGGTCGAGCTCCAGGGCCTGGGTGTTCGAGCCGACTCCGTAGTCCGTGCGCGGCGCGGGGAGGCTCAGGGCCGCACAACCCGAGGGGGCGGGCAGGCGACACTAGCACCGCGGCCTACTGGGGTATTCCGCCGAGGCGGGGACCTGCCACCAGCATTGGCGGTGCACTGCCCCATTACCAACGCGCGCGGCCCTGAGTCCGCGGGGGCGACGGATACATGCAAACTGAAGGATGCTTGTTTCCAGGAAAATTACCAGGAATCGAAGGCCCCGACTCCGGAACCCTATAGCCTTTGGAGGATTCAGTCAGGTGAGGACGCGGTCAGTCCCTACGCAGGGCTTCCGGCACAGGTGTCGAACACATTACAGCGTCCTTAGACCCTAACTCTGGGGCTTGTTTTGTTGCCTACTTCAGCTACACATTTTTCTGACCCAGATTCCATTAAATTCTCAGGATACCTAGGAGGTACAAAGCAATTTGCAATTATTCTGGTGAAAAGCCTTTAACCCTAACCCTTTATGACCAAAACAAGGCAGGAACCAGCTCTCCAGGTACCGTCATAGAACTTGGTTTTCTCCCTTTTTTCATGACATTGCCCCTGTGAAATGCTTACCATATTATGTTGGTTTCCTCAGTGGGAGGAAAGCGCCACTTAATTCTTGGCAATGTTCTCAACCAAATTTAAAAAAACTTGACTAATTTGCCAGAAACCATAGTGCAAAACAATCCGCTCGACCTAATCATAAAATAAGCATTTTTTACAATATTCAGTCAAGCTGTTAGCCATGCAAGGAAATACCAAAACTCAGGACTTCCTAAGAAATCCTCTCTCCTGTAAAATGAGAATAGTAATTCCCAAAGATGTTACTGATTGAGCAATTTATTTCAGATGATTTCAAAAGTGTAGCACACAGAAAGCATCTCCAGTCTAAGCTAGACAGGACTTTCCTACCTGCCTGGCTCTCCACCACAGCAGTTGCACAACAGTGTAGTAGGGCTGTCACATACAGAAAGCTGTCAAAAGACTTAGTCAAACAGCCTAAAATACTTGTGCCAGTTTAAATTATTTTAATAGCTTATTACAAAACGTTAAAATTTACAGTTGGGCCTTCTTTGTTGCTCTTGAGAAATTTCCAGAAAATACACTTAAATTATTGCTAGATGAGATACCCATTCAAAAGAAAAGTTCCTATTAGTGAAGCAAATTTAAAACACAACCAGTTTGGGATATGACCTTTATTGAGCTTATCCACCGGAGTGGAAATAATGTCTGTACAAAACCAAATGTTTGTTACTATAACTTCTGCATCACAATTAAAATCCGAACAGTTTTTTAAAAACAGTCAACTCAATCAAAACCCACTACTTCAGAATCAATAGCTTCTTTGAAGCCACAGTAACACTTAAATATGGTTAAGACTCGAATGCAGAAATTTGGTTGGTTGGAAAGCTAATTAAACTTCCAACTTGCTCAAATAGAATTACAAAAAGGCAAAATTGTGTTTTTCACAGAGATACAGTCCACTGGAATCACCAACACTGGACAGCTGTTAGAGTATTTAGAGTCCTGAGATGATAAGAAATCCAGGCATCCTTTAGACAGTCTTCTGTTGTCCTTTCTTCCCAATCAGAGATTTGTGGATGTGTGGAATGACACCTACGAGAGGGACAGGAATAAATTGTTTTATACACACGTTAAAAAAAAAAAAAAATCACACTGGAAATGTCTTTAAATCTGAAGATCAAGTATGCAGAATAAAAATTCAGTTATGTTCGGAAATCATATTTCATGATGCGACCATGCCGCATATCAGTGAAAATATACTCACGTGCCCTCTTCTAGACTAAAAATTACTAGTGGAAATTAAAGCAAAGAATCCTTTCCTCTTAAAAGAATTTAAAATAAAATTCTAGTATTTACATACCACCACCAGCAATTGTAGCCTTGATGAGAGAGTCCAATTCTTCATCTCCACGAATAGCAAGTTGCAAATGACGAGGGGTAATACGCTTTACCTTTAAGTCTTTTGATGCATTTCCTGCCAATTCAAGTACCTAGAAGGCAGAGTATAATCAATTTCCTTCCAACTCTCCTTAAAGCCAAGAGCCAGAGCGGTATCCAGTCTCCATGAACGACCAATTGTGGTTCCCCCCACTACTTGGACGGCAAGATACGCAAAAGCTATAAAAGGGACACGCAATTTTATTTCCAAGAGCAGCTCAAGCGCAGGATTCCTTCATGATCTCCAGCTCCCTCTAGCGTTCTCAGAGGCTTCTCACCGCATTTAGGGCCTGGGAGTTTTCTTGCATCACTTTCCTCCTTCCCTCTCGCCGCTGTCCCCCCGCCCCCTCCACCACCAAACCTTTTCCAGATTATAGGCGTACACCCATTTACCTCTGCGGTGAGGTACTCCAGGATGGCTGCGCTGTACACAGCAGCAGTCGCGCCCACACGTCCATGGCTGGTCGTCCTAGATTTTAGGTGTCGATGAATACGGCCCACCGGAAACTAATGTTAAGCACATACAAACATAAATGCACGAAGATATGAGTCGAAGATAATAATACGCACGCCAAATCAAGGGGCACGGACGCTGGTGCAGCAAAGCGCTCCAGCATCGACACACGTGATTGCTCCCCCCCCCCACCGCCGCCGATATTTATCGTTATCGGCGAACCAAGTCGCGACACCGTACCACCCACGCAAAGATAAAACGCCCATCTAGAGCGATAATAAACAAGGAGGAAAGAAAAACGCCACAATTTCCAAACCGCACGAACAACCACTGACCTGCAAGCCGGCTCTCTGCGAGCGGGAAACCGCCTTTGTCTTGGCTTTTCCGGAGTCTTTCCCAGCCTTACCGCCAGCCTGCAGCGCGCACACGCCCGGGAGCGAAGGAGGAACGGAGAATATAGGATTACCAAGGCGGAGCGCCCCTCCCCCACCACAGCGCGGCCTGGGCGCGAGCGCGCCCCCGAG